TGGACCTGCTCGTGATGCATCTGTGGATGCATGGTAAGGTGGGGTTGGCCTTCCTGACCACGTCTCCACACTGTCAGCCCATGTTCATTTTGGCATCGATAATGACTCCAAGATCCTTTTTTGCCTTGGCACTGACGAGAAGCGAGTTCCCCAGCCTGTAGGTGTGCTGCTGGTTCTTCCCCCCCCAGGTGCAGCACCTTGCACTTGTCAGTGTTGAAACCCATCCTGTTCTCATCCGCCCACCCCTGTAACCTGTCCAGGTCCAATTGCAGCTTATTTCTCCCTTCTAGTATGCCCACATCCCCCCACAGCTTAGTGTCATCTGCAAATTTGAATAGTGTGCTTTTCACCCCCTTGTCCAAGTCGCTGATGAAGATGTTGAACAGCGCGGGTCCGAGGACCGAGTCCTGGGGAACCCCACTGCCCACATCCCTCCAGGTCGAAAATGACCCACCCACCACCACTCTCTGGGTGCGGCCCCCCAGCCAGTTAGTGACCCATTTGACTGTGTGTCGATGCCACAGTCTCCTAGTTTTTTAACGAGAATGGAGTGAGAGACAGTGTCAAAGGCCTTCCTGAAGTTCAGAAAGACTACATCCACTGCTACCCCTACATCTAAGGATTTTGTGACCTGGTCATAGAAGGCCACCAGGTTGGTCTGACAGGACCTGCCCCTATGAACCCATGTTGGTTGCTCCTAAGCATAACCTCCCCTGCTGGCCCCTCATGGACATGCTCCAGGATAACTCTCTCAAAAAGCTTACCCAGAACTGAGGTAAGACTGACTGGCCTATAGTTTCCTTGGTCCTCCTTTCTCCATTTTTTGAAAATGGGAACCACACTGGCCCTTTTCCAGTCCTCTGGCACCACACCAGAGCACCACGAGTGCTCGTAAAGCCGTGCCAGGGGTCCCGCAATGACCTCTGCCAAATCCCTCAGCACTCTGGGGTGGACATCATCAGGACCAGCTGATTTAAATACGTCCAGTTCCTCCAGAATTTCCCTGACTAGATCCTCACTGACCCTAGGCCTGGGTGCGCCTCCCCTAGGGCCTAAGGGGGTCCTGGTGGTGGGGGGGTGGCCCGGTCCCTGCTCAGAAAAATGGAGGCAAAGAAATTGTTAAATAGGTTAGCTTTGCTGTCTGGTGCAATGACCAGATTTCTTAGCATGTCCTGCAGAGGCCCCATGTTACTCGGTACCTTCTTTTTACCCACTACGTATTTAAAAAAGGACTTCTTGTTGTCCTTGTTGTCCTTGATCTGGGTAGCTAGTCCCAGTTCCATCTCCACCTTGGCCTTCCTGACCGCCCCCCTGCAGCCCCGAACAATCGAGGTATATTCCTCCCTGGTGATGGCCCCTCCCTTCCATTGGGTGTACGCCTCCTTTTTAGGATCATATTTTTTATTTCCTACCATTTTAATTTTTATTTCCTGCCATTTTAATTTCAGGCTATAGTATGTTCCATAAATAAGATACAGACTTTTTTCAGCTGGAAACTATCACTAAATTAGGATCAGATTCGAAGAAGTGCTGAGTATACACTACTTCCAGTTAAGGCTTCAGATAGTGAAAATAATTGTTTCTCAGTGGATGTACTGAAGACTATGACAATTATTGATACTCAGCACTTTTCTGGATCAGGCCCTTTCCCTGAACCAGATGAATTTATGTAGTTATGCCAAAGTACTTAGTCTTCAGGTGTTTTAATAAAAGACAGCTCTCCAGCATGTCTTCTTAAAATGCATGTGTCAAAAAGAAAAAAAGGGAATGGGGGAGGGAATGAATATAAACCAGTGCTCTGTGGAATAATAGCTAAGTTAATATCTATAATTACCTCAAATCTTAAGTAAATTTTCAAGCACTAGTGATTCAGAAAGAATACAATTCTCAAAGTACATCATTTTTTGACAGGTGAGTAAATAAAGCTGAGGAGGAGTGATGGATAATCAAACACCTTAACTAAAAATCAAAATGCCATTTGGTGGTTTAGGTTCTCTATCAGTATACTTTTGTTCAGAAGCAATTTTGTATATCTCCAAGGAAGTGTGTGTTTGCATGTGCGTGTGCATGCACATGTTAGAACTGCAAGTTCATGTTTACTTAGCTGTCCCATACCACTTAGGTATAGTTTCTTTGTTTGTTTGGTATAGAAAAAAACAACAGCTACCATTTGAGGATCTAATTGCACTTCACAAACATTTATGAATTTAGTTTCACAAAATCCATGTGAAGAAGGTCAGCATCATCAACCCCATTTCTAAATGGGAAAAAACTGAAGAACAGAGATTAAGGATAAAATTTAACACCAATAATATAAAGAGAAGCCTAGAAACATTGACTTTTAAACAGCTTTTAAAAATGGTAACTTGGCGCTTTTTAAAAATCAGAAATGTTAGGACATAGGGGGTCTTAGGCTTTTGTTTAAAGGATTTCAGGACTCATGATATTCCCCACATTGATAACCCTAATTATGTTTTCCCTTTAGCCACAGAACTGGTATGCAGAGGCCACAGCTAATTACATATGGTATCCTTCAGAATCACTTCCAAAGAAGTCTTTGAAGCACCATCTAAAACCACAACTTCTCAGTCAATGAAATTTGCTTTGTGACCATTAAGGAGGTAATCAGTCTAGCGTTCTTTCTGTATTCCCTACTACTCCTGGGCGCTCAAGTAGCATTGAGTCAGAAATGGCTTCTGCCACATTTGGCTGGCCAGGAATCTGCACCCTTTTATTATGATTATATAATCATGTTATGGTATGTTGACATGTTGCTGTCAGGTTCAGTACCCCAGTGTAATGGACACTGTACAGGCTCAGCAGTTCAGCCCTGCAGATGCAGATCTAACTATAGTAATGCAATGTTCATCACCTTCATGCTCAATTTAGTGTAATGTGTGCTTTCGAGGATTGAAAGTGACTGCCTTGAAGAAATTCCAGATGGTACAACATGCAGCAGCTCATCATCTAGACAACATGAGGGCACACGTAATAGCTTACTCTGCCATTCCATGCAATGCACTAGCCACTAGTCCAATTCTGGACCTAATTTAAAGTCTTATACTGTTTCTTCAAAACCATGAAAGGTTTGAGTTCCATTTTCTTAGGATCACAAATTTAGGATCTCTCATCAGCCTTGCCACAAGAACTTCTTAAAGATCGTTTAAAATACCAAAAAACAACAACAGAAACAGGACATTCACATTCTTAATGTGTCACCAGGCAAGGAGGGTACAGTCTAAAGCCCAATTGTATCACTATATCGGAATAAAAACAGAATTCTACACTGATGCATATACCCGTAGCCCTTCCAAAAAGTCTTCTCTCTTATTTTGGCAGGAGCATTCTAGCAGTAGAAAGGGAGTAAATTTTGAAAATGTCCAGGCATGGAGTTTCCACAGCTTCTCTAGGTAGCCTTTTCCCATAATTGACCACCCTCCTGGCTAGAAAGTTCCTCCAAATCTTGAACCTAAATTTCCCCTGCTGCAGCCTGAGGCCTGGTCCTGCTCCTGGTCCTGTCCCTGTCCCCTACAGCCCCAGAGGAAATCCTATCTACATCCTTTCTATAATCACCCTGTCAGTATTTGAAGACAATTATCAAATCCCATCTCTCTTCTCTTCTCCAGACTAAATAACCCTAGTTCTTTCAGTATTTCCTCATAAGTCTTACTTTCCCAGACTCTAATAATTTTTGTTGCTCTCTGCTTGGACTCTTTGCAATCTGCCCGCATCTTTTGTGAAGTAGAGGGCCCCAAACTGTACACAATACTCCGGGCAAGGCCTCACACTTGCTGAATAAAACAGAGAATTCACTTCCCTTGATTTGCAAATGACACTTCTGTGAGTAGTGTGTGGGCCGGAAGCGGTCTGAGGTCCTTTTTCGCGCGGCGGGCTGTGGCCAGCAGCCCGGACATGCCGGGTCGGGGAAGGCAGGCGGCACGCTAGAAGTAGGCACGGATGCTTAGTGGTTGTTTAAGATTGTTTACTTACACCGTAGATGGTCGCAGTGCAGGCTGGAAAGTTTCCAGGAATACTTCGCTTAAGCCCTAGTTTTAGGACTCGGACAGAGCTCTGGATTCACTCACACAAAGTTTTCGAGGCTCCGTGGAACTTGCGCGCAGGGAAGGGTACGTCGAGGGATCGTTCGGCGACGGGGAGAGGCGAGAGGCTGATCAGACCCCTGTTGCCTTCTTCATATTCACGCTGGGTCCAATAGGCTCCGTAGCACTTAGCGATCTTCACGAGACGTGAAGTCTCCTCCTCCTGATGTTCGTGGAGTCCTCCAACTTGGGCGGAAACCACTCAAGCCTCTTATACGGCTAGTAAGCCAATCGCTAGCCGTCACGTAGGAATAATTTAGAACTGACCAATAGTGGGGCATGAATTTAAATACAAATGGCGGGAACTCCTTGCAACGTGCATTTCTGTGTTGCAACGAAGAAATGCACCCTGCAAAGAAAGCTACAAATGGCGGGAAAATAATTTAGCAGTGCCGAAGCGCACACAAACGAAAAATCACACCCTTGGGTTGTGACAAGTAGAACCGAGTATGCTGTTGAATTTTTTTGCAATGAGAGCACACTGTTGGCTCATATTCATTTATGGTCTTCTATAACTCCCAGGTCCTTCTCTGCAGGACAGCAGCCTGGCCAGTCAAGTCCCCATATGCCCCTCTATCTTGATGTATTGGATAACTGTTTCATTGCTTGTGGTCTTTCACTCAGAATTTGGTTTGTGCCAGTGCTTTAATTCCAACAATTTGATAATATTTTTGGTATTTTTTTTAGTTTAAATATGAACATCTGAAATATGACTCCTTGCTGTGGTAGTTGCAAAATCTGTAGCTATCAGCTATTCAGTGTTATAAAGACTGACAGTGAAATTATTAATTACAGTATAGCCTTGTAAAATGTACTTGCTAATTTAACTGAGCAGGTAATTTTTTTTCCAAACAGTTGAATAAAATACACTTTTTTTATTATAATCATTATTAGGGTATCAGGCAGATGAGCACAGTAAATACATGGGCTAGTAAATTTTGAAACAATTATGAAAAACTGCATTGGCATACCTTAGACAGCCGACTTATGATTTTTTTAACCCATCTTAATGCCAAATTATACAGTTAAATCCCTACTACACAATTCTTAAGAGTGTAGAAGACTAAGCATGACATGGGGGCTAGAGGTCTTTATTTTTAAATTACAACCTAATAACAGTATGCCATCTTTCAGAAACTATGAATTTCCACAGCCATATATCCCGTACATTTTAATGAGGTGTCTTCAAAAGTGGGCATGGTTTAACAGTAAATTAAAATTAAGCAAAGCTTTAGCTATATGCTACCATCGAAAACTAGTGACATTTCAGAGCATACTTGGTGGACATAAATTGAATTGACCTTGGAAAAAATCATTTACACTCCTGAACCTCCTCATGTGCATAAACCAGCAAGGAGCTATCTATATGCAGTTTCACACCTCATGAACTTTTACACATTATTCATTTAAATCAGAGATCCAAACACAAAATCTGGTGCACACAACATCATGTAGATTTCTCACATTCCTTGGAAAATGTAGGGCCCTGAAATCAGTGGTTAGATTACAATGATTCATAAATGTAATGTTCTTTGTTTTCATTTTTTATTCAAAATGCATACATATAGTATGGATAATCATTATTTTGCCTGTTTCAAAACACCACATTTGAGAGAGCACAACAGCATGGAAATTGATTATACAAAACATAAGAGGGGACTGCAGTATTTCCTGGCATCTGGCATACTCCTCAGTGAAGAGCAGGGTTTGTCACATGCTGGCTTTTCAGCTGTGGCATGTCACCAAGGCTCTGCCATGCTACATTCTGGGTGACATGGCACAGCTGACATACCAATATGTGACATGCCTTTCATTTCACATGCTATGCATAGCTGCAACCCCCGCTGTGAAATAGTGCAGTGCACATTTTTCAGGTATTGTTAGACTGTGCTGCTGGCCTAGTTGCTGCAATTTAAAAAGTCACAATTAGCATTTGAGATTAGAGGACAAATATTAGCCAAGCTGTTTGGATGCTGCATTTTAACGAGGGAATTGTTTTTATCTTTGCATAATACTAATCATCGTTGCTACAGTTGCCTATTTTATGTCCAGTAGATATTGGTATGTAGTAGAAATGAATATGAAACTTTCATTGGACTGCAAAGAGGGCATGTGGCAGATAGAATTATTTATAATGACCTCTACATAGCCAGAGTTATAACACTTTGTGTTTGACAGACTGTGGAAACAAAAATAAATTGTGGAATAGACTATATATTTCACATCTAGAAATAAGATTCTTTTGAATTATGCATGCTTTATCAGCATCCCCAGCCACAAATGTCATGCTTCCGTACACAAACAGCAAAACACAGAGCCAGATGGGATGCGCTTATACATGTGTGTGGGGAAAGGAGTGAGCGAACCCCCCCTTCCATTCATAAGTCGAGGGCTGTCAGAGACTGCTCCCTTGGTGCACTTTCCAAGCAGGCAGGTCTGACCCTTTAAGGGAAGCAGGCAGCCCTGAAGTAGCAGCTCAATTGTTCATGATTAGCTGGCAGTTACACGCCCAGTGGGAGAAAGAGCAAAGAACTTGGGCTTGAGGGATGGAGCAGTTTTGTTTCGAAGCTGTTTTGAAGCCTTTTGTTTCATTTCTATTTTACTGTTTTGAGCTCAAAGTGCATTGAAACAGCTTCGAAACGAAACACCTGTCGAAATTTCACACAGCCCTAGATATTACACTTTACTAACAGCATCAATTTCATAACTGCATATACCATAAGATGTCTATGAAACAAATAAATGCAAATTGTGTTCCATGTAAACTTATATCAAGATAAATAGAGGCTATGAATGCTGTGAAATCCTTCTGCCATAAATCTTCTGTCAAACACCTGAAGGAGGCTTTATTAACAATTTCTTTTTAGTGCTCCAAGCACACGCGTGCATGCGCACACACACAATAACTTAATGAGATGAACTCCATTAGGGTTTCAGATTTCCCAGGACTACTTATTTCCATTTAGCTACAGCCCACATAAGGAGCTTCAGTGCTGCCAGCTTCATCTTGCCATGTGATAGGGGGTCTGCGTTTTTTAAAGTGCCAACTTGTGGAGCCACATGACAATCTCACTTTCATCTAAAAAAAAAAGAAAAAATAAGTTTCTCATCTTCATGATTTGAAATAAATTTGAAACCGAGGGCCCTAAAGGCTCCAAAACCCAAAGGCAAAATTAGCCAAAATTTGGATTTGCCTTTTTTTTTTAATTCACAACATTTTTAACCCATTTGCTTTTTTGGTGGGGAGGACTCGATTATGAGGACACAGAGCTGGCAATGCTTGTGAAGGAAAATGAATAAAACCAGATTTTGATTGTAGAAATGGGGATATTTCACTGTTCTCCTCCAGGGAAATAATCCATAGCTGTCTTTGATGCCCCGGTACTGTGAACCGGACATGCACTTTAGGATGAGGGATTCAAGTCAACCAAAGTAACTGTCAATTGTTTCAAAAGGACAGCTGAATGAACTAGCAGCTATAGGGGCTGCTGGCATTCTTCCTGCCAACTTCTGCAGAGAATGAAATCCATAAAATCTCACTCCTCCCCTTATACAAATTCTGGACATTTTTTAATTTTAAATTTTGCTTTATTAGTGAAAACAGCTGAACAGCTATTACACAATAGAAAGGAAATTCTATGCTGGACACAAAGGAATAAGCTTTCCTGAAAGCCAGTACATGTAATGACATACCAGAGCTCTTTTCTTCCCCTCTTCTCTTTTTCACTTGTTTCCCTTATTAACTTTTGTGTTCCCACAACTGCCCTCCAACAGAGAAATAAGGCAATCAGCCACTGTCTTCTTTTCTTCCTCCTTACTACGAGGAGACTGAAGCAGTCATGTTTTTCCTCCTCCAAATTTTCTCTTCTCTTGCCCTTTCTCCACTCTCAAGGGAAAAGTGAATGGGGAGGAAATGCCAGTTGTCTACCTGTAAGCCTGACACCACACAGAACCCTTACAGCAAGGACTTGTAACTAAAGGATCAACTATCCTGAGTAATGGTCCTGTGGGGTGGAGAGAGACAACAAATTTAACTACCTTGGGCCCAGCGCCAGGCACATGGCAGCTCTGTACTGCCATGACTGTTCTCTCATTGAAAATGATTGATCACTGCCTCTCTCTAAATGGAGGGACCATTGCTGGCAATAATCAAGGTCTACAAGTTTTGGGGTGGAAAAGGCCAAACATGTTGGGCAAAACTCAATGCTATTGTAATAGAGCACAACTCTGCTGATAACAATTTAATTGCTAACTGCCAGCGGTGAATGTGGACAGTTATATTAAGCAACAAAGATAAGGTCTTCTCAGTTTTAGCCAAGGAAGGAAGAACTCATAGGGTGAAATCTTGAAGAAAGTTGCATATGGCATGCCCAAATGCACTAGAATTTGTGTGCTCTAGTAGGACCATGAAGGGAACTGCACGCAGCTAGACTAAGTTATTCAAATAGTCAACAATCCTATGATTCATTCAAAATTGTCTTCAGAGAAAGGGTATTTCCTTTATCAAAAAGGGTGCTTTTTATATGTGTACTAACACTGGGTAGTATGAATTTTGAATAATTGCCAAATTAAACCAATTAAACTATCAAGTAAATTGCAGGATCAAAGATAATGGGGTCAAAGCAAGTCTTTTGCTAGTGATGGGGAATAGCTATTTGCCGGGCTACATAAAATCATGTTACCCTAAGTATTAACAAGTAACATAGAAATTTAAATGCATCTAATTAAAATACATATGAGGGCATAAATAGAAGAGTAAACAAGCATCAGGTAGACCACAGACAACAGATAAACTGCACAACTAGAACCACGTAATTCAAGCAACAGCATTTTTTCACAATAAGCCAATCAGCATAAATTGTAAAACAGGGTTAAAATGCAAGTCTAGCTGCATAGATAGTTCACAAGGGCTGCCATAGTAATAATGATGGTCTGGGTGCACAGTTCTTGATAGGTCTCTTAATGAAGGGACAAAAGCAAATGCCTATGAACTGTTTTATAACATTGGAAATAAATGTTTCCTAAATAAAATGTTTCATTCTATCTCCTTTCCTTGCTACCCCAACTCACTTAACAATGGACTCTTTATCTTTCCATTCAGTCTAGCCACTGATCTTGCAATAATAATCACCTCAAACTTGTTTCTTTAATTTAAAAAATGTTGATTTTATTTTAAGGTTAGCAAATATGCATTGCCTGGGCCAGGACTTTCTGCACTTCCATTTGGTCTAGCACCTCTGCATGCAAAAAGCAATCAGCTCTGTTTTGTCTTTATGAGATTTACAACTGTTACCCATCACCGCTTTTTATATTATTTTGCATTTTAGCCAACACAGGCACAAGCACAAAGCTCCAATTTTAAAAGGAAAACTGAAAAAAAAGGCAACTCAAAGCGATGCAATTGTAACTCACAGTAATGAAGACAATTGCTAGGCATGCCAGTGAGGGCAATAAAAAATGGAAACTTTCTCCAAAAATCAAGCATGGTCATAGAAAAGCAGTTTATATATTTATGTATATATTATCAATATCATCTTTCCTTCTCTCAATAATAAATGCACTTAAAAAAAATAAAAGTGATACAAATACTGTTACAAGGCACCTTGTTGGAAGCTCTGAAAGCTGAAGTTCCTGTTTCCTTCACAAAGCTGGTATAATACAAGGAGATACAGCACTACAAGTTTCCACATCACCCTGCCAATGCATCTCAGTCACCATCTGGATATACCTATCCTAGAGTAATTCAGTCTCCATGCCTAATTAGTTCTTGGTCTTTCTGCTAAGATGACCAGTAACTGTGTCTATTCTGGAGGTAGCTTGGTGTCACAGATGGTTTGGACATCTGCTTACTAAAAAGTGGACTTAAAACACTAACTTGTTTCTTATACAGTAGTCCAGTGACTGTGCATCTAACCTGGGAAATCTCAAAGCAGGTGATGTAGTGACAAGCTCTATATTTAATTACCATTTCAACCTCTCTATTTTCTATTATTTTGACACTTGAGTAGTAGAGGAGCTAGCAAGTCTTTATTTTCTGGTATTTCATCTACTGTTCAAATCCTAGAGCACGCCCAACCTCGCTTTCTCATGTAGTCTTCTTTCTTTTGTAAATCTGATCTCTTAAATGCTTCACAAAGTTTTGACAATAAACCTGTAGGTCTTTTGATAGTATTTGAAATTTTGTTACAATAAGTTGTCTATCCGTTTTTAATTCTTTTTTGCTGTATAAAATGTCTTTTCTGATACAAATGATAGAGGTGTTTCAGGAGAACAATGCATTTCTTTGTATTTTTTTCCTTCAAAGCAGAAAATAAGTTCTATTTAAAAAAATGCTCAGAAAATTCTTTTCCTGTTTCCTCATTCCAAGGGGCCGGTCTGAACACCAAAGGTCATTTACTTGCATTGTTATTACACACAACTTCCTCTGACACATTTGATCCCAGATTTTCACACTGATCCCACTGGGTGAGTCTACATGAGATGCTTTAATGTGCATTAGATTAGCATTAGACAATTTAATGCACAATAAAGCGTGATCATCTACATGTGCATGGAACTTATTGGACAGTAAATTAGTCTAATACATGTTTTGCTAGTACCTGTAGATACAGGTACTAAAGAAACTGCACACTAGCTTCTGCACAGTAGCTCACATGTAGATCCATTCCTGGGCAAAGCTTATTGCACCTTATTTTACGGCACAGTAAGATTAAGGTACATTAATAACATGTGTAGATGCACCAACTGTGTCCTGCCTATATTCTTAAGATTGCCACATCATTCCATATAAGATTAACATCCAAGTGGAAACTTGTAAATAGTTATACAATCATAGAGGGGGAAGAGATTTGTGGATCATCTAAATCCAATCCCCAGCACAGATGTAGGATATGCTATACTTAAACCATCCTATATGATTGTTTTCAAGGGTCTCCATATTCTTGTTTTCCAAATAGATAAAATATATCCACATAAAATTACTCTTCTACTAATGCCATAAATTAACATGCAGTATTGCAACATATTTGTACACTACGATTCCCTAAGGTTAATTCCCTTAGGTCAAACTTTGGTGAAAAGATCAGACAGTTATTGTAAGAATCTGAAGAAAAGTTTTTAAAAAAAGCAAGTGGTCTCTTCAGATGAAAAGGGTATCTATGACACTAGTAGTATGCAACTGTCAATCCTTCTGGATCATGGTCTATGAGTGAGAGGTCACCAGGACCTTTGACGTATTTGCCTAGGCAGGAGTATGGAGGAGTGGAGTGACACTAAATCATCAGTAAAAGCAATGTTAGTAGTCTGTAAACTATTGGTATTTTTTGGAAAAAAACGAGAGATCTGAAGACAAGATAAAAAGAAGATAAAAAAGCTATTTCTATGTTGCCATATCTACCTCACTGACTGCTACAGTGGGAGTTTTTTTGGGGGGGGAGGAGGGGGTCTGTTATATTTTGCTTTGTTTTTTGCTTTGTTTGAATATGTTTCTTTCTTCTCCCCCTCACTAAAACAATGGATGAATAGGGTATATGAACTGGAAAGGGAAATTACTGATAATTGTGAAGTCTGTGATGTCTCAAGTAGCTCTTATAGTTGTGTTGAAATATGTGAGGGCAAAAAATGAATAATTTATGAAAGATTATGAAATTAAAATGCTTCCAACTCCCCTAACAACTTCATGCAAATATCTTTACTGTATATCTATTGCTCTTCATCTCCTCTTAGCCTTTTTTAGTGGAATGGGGAGCACTTCATTGAGGGATGTAGCTCACTGGAAATGAGCAGAGCACTGAAGTTAAAATCACAAACTGGCAAATTTCTACAGATGTGATAAAAGTGTTCATATTCTGGTGTATGCTTTTTCACCAATCACAACTGAGTAGTAAAGGAATATGAGTACACCAACAAATAATGCTTTTTGAAGATGTTAATTGAAAATAGAGTTTTGAACATCATGTATCTGCAGAACTGTATATACACATACAATAGTGTTTGCAGACCCTGAATCAATTGTTAAATTGCATGTGTACAGGAAGTGGACTTTCCTAGTTACTGGGCTGATCTGTGCCCTAACTGTGCACTGGCCTATGTAAATCAGATTGGCCAGAGTGGTTATCTGATTTGTACTGGCTGCTAATGGCCCCAAAAGACTCTCAAAGTAGCCAGGGTTGGTTGGTCTGTAAGGAAGCCTCAGCCATACTTCTGTACTGGCTACAAGGGATGCTCTATGCTCTCAGAGAACCTCTCAATGGTAACCAGATCTTCCCATGGCCAATTAGACTGGCTTTAGAATCACTTTGCATTGCTGGCATGAAGCTGAGAGGCTGCAATGCAACTGAGGATCAGGGCCAAGGAGTTGTCAGTGATGATCCTGATGCTGTGGAATGACCTCCTGGAGGAAGTTAAAATATGCTCTAGTCTGACCATTTTCAGATCCCGGTGCAAAGTCACTGCGCACATACACTTTTTTTTTAAGAGGGGTAAACTTCCTCACTGTAAAAGTGGCATCTCCTAAAACATTCTGACACAAACCTGTACTAGCTGCTGCTGCCAGAAAGTCAAGAGCTGAACTCATTTTGGCTATGGATATTGAATATAGATGTCCCTAAGGGCATTCTTAGTCGGGGAGGAGGGGGTTAGGAAATACTAACCTATTTTAAGTGTGACACGTGAAAACATTTGCAGTAAATCCTTTATTATAGAAAATACTTCAGAGCACATGTTCACTATAAATGCTGTGCAATTATTAAATATGTATTATGGAACAGTGTAGCATTTTTCTGCCACGCAATGACAACCACATATAAAATGCTGACTAACCTGCAGCGGCTGTAGAGAAACTTGCTTGTGTTGCAAACCAACCTTTCCCAGCAGTTCAGACTACAAGCTGATGATGAAGCTGAAATACTAGGAGGGGAGTAAATGGAGAAAATGAATAAAAGCTGGCAGCCGAATTTACAGTGCTTTCAGAAATCAACATATTTAAAATCTAATGCCACAGTCGCTTGTAACTATAAGGCCATTATAAGAACATTATAAAAATTTGGAAGTACATTAAATGCACCCAAGGGAGCAGCCACTCAAACAGTAATGCAGACATTTCACATGGATTTAAGCTACACTTGTTACCAGATCAGTATTATGCACAGTTCCTTCGTACGAAAATAGTTTTTTAGAAACATTCAAAGCTCCTATTTTCAAGGTAGTATTTTGAACTGAAGCCCAGCTACCAGCAAGAAAGACTGTAGTACCTTATGTTACATTTTTTATTATATATGGCAAAACTCTCATTCACTTTATAGGAATAAGCTTAGGCTCTATACCAGCTGGTAACTTATATTAGGAAATTGTAAGCATGTCGGTTACTCACGACATTACATTTCGGACATTTTCTTTGCAGCCCACTTTTGATCCAGATCTGGATTGTTGTTTGTCATGCTTTTCATGCTGATCCAACAACCCAAGATCCACTCAGTAGGACTGTGACAGCTTATACTGTGTGAGGATCTCCCCTGCCCTTGTGTTAACCTGAATTCTTAGTCACATGAAAAATAATTTTCATCTGTTTTCAGAAATAGGATTAAAATGACTTTGCTTTAATATGTTTGAAACTGCAGGCCTTTTTCCAGCTATGCCATATATTCACTTTTGTTTGGTGAAGGATCAGAGGTATAAGCAAAGATCAAGGCAGAAAATAGCATCAGTAAGTGTACCTGTTCAAGGCAGTGGAACTCAAATCCAGATTATGTATTTTCCCTGAGAAGAAAGCAAACAGAGTAAGCTGAATCCCTTTAAAAGCAACAGGTTTCAGTAGTGGATAGCATCTTCTGAGAACCTGCCTCTATGTGAATGCCATTGATTTCTCAATCAAGACTCACAGTAGAGATGATATCTTTTATTAGACCAACAAGATTTTTGCAGCTTTTGGACACAAACACCCTTCATCAGGCATTGAAGAAAAGATTGTAAAAATTCTCCTGGGTGGAAAAGGAAGTTCATATTTCATAGAGTTTCACAGAGGAGTCAATAGATGGAAAACTCCTCGGGGCAGGCAGTTCATAGCTGGTATGGAGCTTCTCCCCTCCTGTGAGGATCTGCGATGATGCAAATTACCTTGAAACAAAGGCAGGAGCAGGATCACAGGTTTCAGGTGGTCATAGCTGCTTCCTGCTTGGGAAAATATGAAGATTTCATTTTAAAAAAATGTCTTGATTGATTTTTCAAAGTATATTCACTTAATTCTTCAATGTTAGCCACTTTCTAGAGGAGTTCACTAGAGATGGACAAGCTCAAGCATAGAATCTCTTCTTGTTTTACAGTTATCAGATAAGAACATGAAGCAAGGCAAGCAAAGAAAGTGGGAGATGTTTTACCTGAATTTGGTTTCTGTGATAGCTGAGCTGTGGAGTTGGATGGATACATCCATTTGTATATCAATAAAAGCTTTTTTTACTTATTATTTCTTAACTTACAGGAAACATACACAATAAAAACCCTCCCTGCACCACTATACAGTGAACCATGTGTCATTCTTGTGTGTTGTTTGTTTGTGTCTCCTATACTAATACCACTCAGCTGTCATGACATATTCTAGGTTTTACCCTGTGTTGCAAAAACAATTGATGCCAAACAAAACAAACTACAATCCCCTCTTAGTGTTGGTTATTCTTTTATTTTTCAAAGTGGCTACATAAACGCATAGTAGAAAATGCAAAATTTAATGTAACATCAAATAACTGGCACAATTTACTTCTAAGCAAGAGAACTCGTTTTACATTCATAATTGTTTTCAGTAAAATATTTTCTCTTTTTTTTTTTAAACAAACACAAGTTATAAGGATTTTCTAATTATGGAAGGTCCTCCATTGTTAGTAATGTTTCCTAGGCTAAACTATTAGAATAAATTCTGGAAATAAAACCAAGCCTTTTTACCCCATTTTGCTGTATTAACTATCAAACTTCAAAGGGGAAGTAGTGTGATCTGGCAGACTGGGATGAGACTAGGGAACTAAGTGTCAGGGGGTGCATCTACATGTGTACTTCATGTGGCTGAATAAACTCCAGAACAATCTGTGTAAAAGTTTATTGCTCCCAGGCACTGTTTACACGTGCATGAGAGACCTCAGATTGTTGTCAGGGCAAAGCAGACACAGCTGGCAGGAAGCCCCGAAGATCTGTTTGCCAGCCTGGGGCTGCTCCGACCTGGCTCATTGTGCTGCAGAGGGGCTGGGGCACAAGGGTGCTTCACTGCAGGCCTAGCTGACAGGAACCCCCACATGGTAGCACCGTTGTGCCCCAGCCAGTCTGGTCAGCATCTACATATGGATTGCAGTGGAGGAACTAACTCTGCCGTAAGATAGTACTTGTGTCTGGCTGTACTATCTTACAGCGGAGTTAATTGGTTTACTCTGTCCTAATAGCCCCACATGTAAACGGTGATGTTTTACTGCGGAGCTAACTAGTCAACTCTACAGTAAATGTCTCGTGTAGGCATGCCCAGTGTGAACTAGTATCTCTTCTTTGGTCTCCCAGTGATTTGTGGGCTGTTGAGGAAGTAATTTAATGAACGTGTACCTTGGTTTACCTGTTTTTAAAATGGAAATAATACAAAAATGTTTCAAGATGTAGGTTTTTTTAAATGTTGACAATTCTTGAATGAGGTATTACATAAAAAATTATGCATTTTGATGTTAACAAATACTAAGAGTGCTATTTAAGCATTGTACTAAAAACCCCATGGGGACCCACTTTCAAAATGTCAACTTTAATTTTAACAATGAACACATTCACTTATTTCTCCTCAGTGGCTTGCAACTCTGCCTCAGAGGAAAACCAAATTTATTTAGGTACAGAGAGGCCTAGAACAATATTTAAATTGTAGAATACAAGTGTATGCAAATATTGCCAGAAATGCTTAGAAAGAGGCTACCTATAACAGGATTTTGCTTCCTTGTGAATTCACTCAGCTTTCCATTTGTTTCTACTCATGAACTGCTCACAAGTGGCTCAGGGGAGGGGAGGGGTACATAAAAAAATACTAAAAGTCCATCTGGAGCCAAAAGGAGGCATGCAAATATGCAGGGGACACTTCAATGTGTGAAGCCCATTTGCTCTGAAACATTGCAATGTAGGATCACTAGCTGTTCTAAAAGCTAGGCAAAATTTTAAAATACAAAGAACTAGAAATATAGGTAGGTTTTGTCATTGGTAGGTAGATTTGCACAATATGGTGCCCATCCTTTTAATGATTAAACTGGAAGAGCACAGCAGCAGAACAGTATGGAAGCAGGTGTGCTGCTTGCACTAAATGTTTTGCCCAGTAGGCCATAGCTCAATATGGGTACATCTATATAGCAATTAGTCACTGCAGCCTGAACTTCAGTTGCACTCTCTCATAAAGGGCACAGGTGCAGATTGCACTAAAACTAGCAATTATGCTCACACATGCCAATTCATAGCATGTAGAGAAAAGAATATCTTGTGATCCAATCATTAAAGGCTTTCCAAGAAGTCCTAATGGCACCACCAATTTTGTCTGTCGGTGTACATTTAATTAATGTACTGTATGCCTTCTAGGGGCAGGACAAAAAGTGTGTCAAGAAGAAAACTGTATTTTCTTATAGGAATATTAATGAAGCAAAGAGAACATGACTTGACATGAATGTAACCCACACCCCTGGGCTGCAAGGGGTTAGGTAGAGAGTAGGTGGGGTCACTCTAAGCCTGGGAAAACCAGACCCAGGGAGCTGGGTTGAACCCCAGGCTGGTTTAAGGGCTAGCAGGAGGGAGCTGCAATGTAGGAGGCATTTTGCTCGGTCCCTGGCAGTTACAGTGTGGAAGAGGCCTTGCTCCCTGATATGGTCCCAGGGCCACTAAAGGAGGCCTCAGGGAGACGGTGGAGGAGTCTGGTCTGAGTACAGCTGGGGGAAAGATCAGCTTCCCCAAAGAGGAGACCCCAGCAGGGAGAGGATCTGACTGCTGCTACCTAGTGAGTAGCACTGAAAAGGCTGCAGAAGTGAGTGCAGTCAGTTCAATTGTGGAAGTCCTTGTGCCATCTGGGACAGCTTTGCCTGTGCATAAGTGAAGAGTCTCACCCCAAAGGGTCCTTGTGAGACTGTTTGGATTTGGGGTTTTAAGTTGCACTGTTGAAAGGGATAATTTTGTTACCAGGTTTCCATGCTGGGTTACTGCTTGCAGTTCTGATGCCTGTGGATACAAATGAATCTGTAGATGTAAATAATCTAACTTAATCTCTTGTTAAACCAAGGTACTGTTGGAGACACTGAGTCACCACTGCCACATACCCGCACTCCCTCGCAAGAGGGGTTATACAGACAAGCATCTTCTCCTCTGCACTTTTTCTCCATCAACAGAGCAGGGAAACTATATTACTTTCTGGTCTAGATCTAACTAACAGAAAGGCAACCAAAACAATAACCAAGTAAGTGAGAGTTGAACAAATGATTTACAAATTCTCGCTCAGCCTGTCCAAAAAAAAATTACATCCATTAATTCTGCAGTGGAAAAAAATAGGAAACATGAAAATCCTAATTCCCTTGCTTTTTTTCCAATGTGGGAATGGGTTAACATTAGGTGTTGAGGCTCAGTAACAGAACTGGACGGGTTTTTAAGGTAGTAAGGCATGCTGGTCATTTAATGCCACTGAGCATGCACAGGAAAGGGATAATGTGCCACTCAGATGCAGAAGAGACCTACTTAATGGTGTTCTTCCTGGGCGAATGTTCACATCAGAGACTTAAAGTATCATCAAATATCAATGCAGAGATTTTAAAAAATAGCAATTTCTAAGGAAGAGCAGGAATCAAGGGATGAATTTCACAGATACTACACTTCTAAACTGAAATTACTTCTGGCATTGCAGGACAGTGAATTTAATGGTTTGGATA